TCCCCCCTCCTGATAAATATTACGCAGTCCCTAATAGTTTCCATACTGTCGACTTTTAAGCTAGGATTCATGATCACTCAAGCCACGTGATCGCCGGAGTCAATCCAGAATTTGTAGCAGTTACAATACAGCCGCCTAGTTCTAATTCAACTCATTTYTGTCAAGTCTCTATTGCTGGATTCGAKGGATGTCCTTTTTTAATTAGTTGTCGTTCGCCATTGATGTTTATAACCGGCGTCTCCGTTCTTGTATGCCAGACATAAACCTAYAATTTAAAAACATATTTTTAGACCCAAACATCACGTATCTTTTGATGTATTTGAATACGCAAACTTTCAGTCGTTTTTCGAATTGACTTTGATCCTTCACACATATCCGGGAAATTTGGATTGCCTCTWAAACATTCTTCGAGACRATATTGTGAAAGAAGTGTCAAAATTTGATTTTAATGTGAAACAAAAATGCCACAACAAACTAAAACAGTTTAAAACAGGTTTTCTATCTAGAAGAGCATGGGTCTTGGTTCATCATATTTTATATTATGACTATATTAGTACGCGTTCTCAGTTTAGGGCTGTCTCCACGGTACCTTCGGTGCCACACCGATTCAAGGATGTCAATGATCGGGCAGGTTGTCTTGTAAAAAATCTATATTACCTTCATGCAGTTATCTCCTCTGGGCTCCAGCTCATCTAACGTAGTCATTTGCTCCAGAAAAGACGTCTCCATAAGACCAGGGCGAACTTGTGGCTGAAATGACGCATGAGGGTATTCCATAATAAGTTTTCTTATATTAATAGCGAAGCCTGCCATGTCGATGGGAAACTTTCGCCATGGTTTCCAGTTGTTATGGAATTTGAGCACTTTACCATCTCGGCAAATTGGACCGGACCATCTTGCTGCTCCTGTGAATGCCACTGGCCAAATGCCCACCCCTTTGATTGAACGCATCTAAATATCACAAACTTTTCTTTAATAATAATAATAATAAGTCCTTATTCACTCGTTAAAAATACATAACAAATGTTACAATTGCTGTAATAAAAAAGATTGTACATAGAGATAAAGATTGTATATAGAATAAGAATAAATGTTTAAATGATAATAATAATAGAATCATTTGTATATATATACAAAGAAACGTTTGCTGAAGAAGGCCGAAGTGCCGAAACGTCCATTAAACAGAGTTATTATAGCTTCAAGTTGTTGGTGTTTTGTTCTATTTCATTCTACTTATACAAAGAAACGTTGTTATACTTCCAAAAAAAAAACAATCGAACGAAAAAAAAGGTAAACTCTAAATTCGATTACAACACTGCTTCGTCTACGTTTGTATATGTTTGATTTCCAAGCTTTCGGATCATGTGATACATCATCAGGGACTAGTGATACGAAGCAGTGCTGTAATCGAATATGACTCCTACGTACAGAGAAATCTTAAAACTCTAAATTGTTTTTTTGTCAGTGAATAAGTTAAGAAAAGTTAAAATGATATGGATATCTATCGTTGCTCGCTTTCTCGTATATGACCGAGTCTTTACAAAATCCAATTGCCTATGCAGATCTAAACTCCTTCGTAGGTTCTCCTCTTGTCGGGCTTCCTGTCCCTCACAGGAAGCCCGACAAAAGGGGAGGCTACGAAGGAGACTAATGWAGATCAATTTTAACCCTCAAAAAATAACTTACCTCGTCAAACAGCTTYAAGTCATACGTATTATCGTCGTCTGCAAAGTAAATGACACCTTTTGTCTTATTTGGGTTGACATTTTGGCGAATCCACTCAATACCCAAGTTTCTTTGTTCCACACCACGTGACTTGGCCCAACGCGGCTGTTTGCGTGACCGTCTTAGCGGCTTTGGTGTCCTTACATTCAGATGTGTGTATTTCACTCCGCAATTAGATAAAAAACTWGTAACTAGCTTGGTTTTGTTCCTGGAGTCTTCCACGAGAATCCAGTGAAAGTTTTTGACATGTAAAAAGGTGTTGCATATTCTTGTCAACTCTGCTTTCTGTAGAAATCGTTTATATGTTGGTGTTATGGCGTAAATTGTTGGTACATCTTCTTTRGTTTTTGTGAGTTTTTTATTAGCTCTTTTACGCAAGGGAAAATGCAGAACAGCGTTCACGTCATGCGAACGGCGTGCTTTGTTCTTAACGTGTTTGCCTTCCGAAGTGAAACGACCCACATTACGYAATTTCTCTGAAGGTCGAGGCTGTTCATCTTCTGTTGATAAAGGAACAATAAAWTTGATTTTAAAAATGTTCTAGAATTTTCACAAATCGCCATGACACGGCGTAACTTCTAACTCTTCGTTARTCCCATACCTTTAAAGTGCTCAATCTCGAATCTGTTCTCGATGACTTTCGTAAGCAACAGCATTATAATAAARCAGCAGAGTAAAATGATGTACTTAAACATTCCTCTGGAAAACTGACAAAAAAAACCCGTTTCAGTGAAGATATTAGTTAAGAGTAATTACTTGGATAAAAATTGCCAAGAAGTGATAAAGACGTCACATTGTTATAGTCATAACTAAATGGGTTTGATAATCGTGAAGCCATTAAAAAGTGTTGAACAATATAGGATATTCAGGGAAGATCCAGGGGGGTGCTTTTGTCAGTAATAATATATACCTAAAAACTAAGTATAGCAGATGGAATTGATCATTTTTGTTCAATGAGTATTGTCTTGAGCAAGAAAAATATGCACAATTTGACCGAAAGGAAATTGACTTTTATTGCAWCGGTATCTTTTACTACACTACTCAAATAGATTGTTAGGCAGAATAGTGGCAGACACAGCGTTTTCTTGATAAAAGTACAACACGAGAATTAACAGCACAAAAACTTTTATAGTGATATATATGTTATTCGAAAAGGGSRAGGGGTTGCGTCCGCASCCAAAGCACTTCCCCTTCATCCGCCCCTGGATATTGATACACATTATTCAAAACGCTGTCAAAAATGTTGGAGTAAATCACGCCATTTGCTCCATCCATTTGTTCTTTCATCTTTTGAGCTTAAATTTCTGTAAAAATAGTCTGCTTTGGAATGACTACAAAGCATAACTCTTAATTCACTGACAATTTTCTGATAGATGCAAGTGGGTCGTATATTTAAATTACTTGAAGTTTTGAGGTTATACCACTTTAAGAACTGAAACACATTCAAACAGAATWGCGAATCCAGTATTCGYGCTGTTCACTACTGTTAGAACAAAGATTGTGATTTGATGAAGTAAGAAAGAGAGACAAGCAATACCAAAAAAAGATGACCAGTAAAACAATAGGTATTGTCTTTTTGTTGTCTCGATCAATCACAAGTTTCGTTCTGAAGGTAGTGGTCGACCCCAGTATTTTGAGTTTGAAGGATCGGAAGCGACATGATCCACTCTAGATACAAAGCCATTTGAAGGGACCATGAAATTATATAGATGCTATGTTATTTCAGAATGGAGGAGGCCCACCGTCTTTGCTCAGACAGATCCCAAACATGTCATGAATTACAGCTAAAAATATAATGATAGAATATTGTGTCTATATATTCATTATCTGACCAGAACAGATCGAAATATAGAGAGCAGTATATTATAAATGAAGCAATGCCTTKTTTAAATATTACTTAAAACAAGAGTCAGATAGGATATGGTAGGTTATATCTTGATGTTGAATATTAAAAAAAACACCGTCCATAAGCTTTTTGAAAGCGATTTCTTTATTTGACTATTTACTCAATGTAAAATTTAATGACGCGCATTCAGCTCGACAAGGCTGGGTGACCAAACAAGACGCGAAAATGAGTAAGCGTTTTCAAACCGTTTTTAGTGTGAACAGCCTATTGCGTTTATCTTTAATCTGTCTGCTTTCATTGTAAAATCGATAGAGACGGATAGCCTAACAGATTTACACTTAGGGTATCATAGACGTTTACCGTGCGACTGGAGTTCCCCACAACAAGGTGGATGAAAACACTCTAATGTCGACTGACGGAAAAGAAGATTTCATTGAAAATATATTCGTGCAGTTGAAGCATTTTTGGAATATGCCGTTTACATATTCCTCATTTTAAGAAGTTTTATTCCTTGAAAGCAGATATTGCCAAGGGAACTGATTTGAATAATCATTATAATACCTGTAAAGCAACAAGCAATCACAAAAGCTCTTTGTTTTCGTCTCATATTTTATAAACAAATTGCCTTTAGATATAAACTTTTCTACAGAATAATATCTTATTATTAAACATTGTCTACTTACCATTTTAGGTCCTTAATCGGCGATCAAAATTGAAGATAATAAGGCTAGATTACCAAGTGTTTTAACACGATCCTTTGCTTGAAGAAAAGCTAAGTCATCTTTACTATTTTATAATTCGCTACAATGCCATATCCAGTATAAAGTTCATATGAATTCACCCTTCAGCTTTCTTTTCAGAGAAATCACGGGTTTTTCGCAATCCTACGTTCGGTTAGCGTCAAATTTTCATGGCGAACGAAAAGAAAGATGCTCTCTTGACTCGCGTAAATGCTTATTTATTGATGCGYCCTACCCGTCATCAGGCTATTGTTCCTTATAGCACCAGTTTGTGTGTTTCTTACCAGAACTTTGAGTGCGATTCTTATTGCACTAAAATTTCATTAGCTGAAAATATCCTTTGTATATATTTAGCTTTAGATTATTAAAGCAATTACGTTTTCGAAACACTGTTGGAGAAGATCCCTAACTTATTCATTTATAAATAATATCAATTATTTATTTGTTTATTAGCACTTTGGAGATCTTTTTTTCTAACGGTGATTTGGAATATTTTATCTTCAAAATAAATTTTGTCTTGAATTGCTGTTAATTTTACACTACTGCTTATAGTACTTTCTACACTATTAGCATTATGTTTTTTTATTCATGTTACTATTACTTGCGTCGAATCAATTTACATTACAAATAGATTCAGTTTCTACCGACTAAAGTTTGGTGGAGATGGTAACTGAAATTTGAACAGAGGAAGACAAGAAATGTCGCTCGATCCAGCTTTACAATGATCTCTACAGATGGCAAACCCAAAATAAAGGAGCTGTTTGTGCAGTAAGTGTAACGCTATTTTCAGAAGATAGCTAATCTAAATTGATTTTCTTCTTCTTATTCAATGACACGATTCCATTGTGGTCGCATTTTGATTCTCATTCCAATTACATTATTTTTCATTTTTATTTATTTTTTTATTTACATATTTATATTGGGAAATTTTTAAATAAGAGTTTCACCTCTACYCCTCCGGTGTTCCCTTTGGGCATTCTCACTTGATATGATGTTTCGAAAACGCTTTGAGTTTGAGCCGCAACAGTCCGCTGAAAGTTGACATGTGATGTGACGTCACAACAACTTGAATAAATTAAAGATGGCGGCCTCCATTGACTGTTTCAAATTTTACTTCCGGTCTCAACATACCTGCCAAATTGCCCAGAAAAGACAAAAGAAATCACGTCAAGATGAAGGTACCAACTTTTTGAAACCTAAACAACGAGTATTTAGGTACGAAATGATTTCGAAACAACATTAATACAAATCGGGATACAGCTTCAAATGACAGGTAAGTTTTGCTACTTTGTAGTCTCTTTTCTGCGTGAAAAACTATACGTTAAGTTGTTGTAATCGAGAATAATTTTTTTAAAGGCATTTTAGTCACAGGTAGATTTCTTTTATTAGGTCAATGTATTATAATTATCTTTCATTGAAGCTTGTTTACATTCTTGCGCAGAGGCAAATGGTTCAGTTTAAAATCTATCGTTAAACGTATATAAAAACTATATAGGATCTTGAAATAGCAAGTTGTTATTAAGATTATAAAGTACAATCGTTTAATATGATGAACAACGACAATTTTGAGYGTGTGATCATTTATAAAGTTGCTTTCGGAAGATCCACATGTCGATGAAAATCAAAATCAAGTCGAATTTCAATCTTAATTTTTATTCGGTTTTTAATTCTAAAGAGTTCTTCGGCGATTTCCAAGTCATCTTTGAAGCATTCACATTGTGATACGGTTTATCCGATAAGGTTTTCCGTCAGTTTATAAAAAGTTTCGAAAAATGGCGCGTTAACAATAGCGACATAACTGAGATTACCGTTCGTTTGCATCGAAGCAAAACGACCAGTGAGCTATTGTAATTTTCCACAATAATGTGAATAATTGTATATAGGTGCGAAGGACGGTTTCTATCTCTGGGCGCTCACGAATGTTTTCGTTCCGATGCAAACCAAGACATAATTTTAAATACCTTTCAAAGCGGCGGAAGGATCCGCGAGGGCTTTGCTCAGCACTAACTGGCCGCTGCTATGTTTGTAATWCAAAACAAGTACAGTGGAATCTTCACTTGCAGACACTCCCGTACTGTAAGCGGAGAGCTCTAATTACRGACAGCWTTTTTTTTAGAAATTCCCGATTTTATATTTAATTTCTTCATATAAACACTGTGTTCACACTTTAGACTGACAGCTCTACCAATTTTTTCCCTTTTCCGAGAATGTCCGCTTGCAGAAGATTCAGCTGTATATTCAAACTAGTGAAGTTATATTTTATTTTCACATGATAAATTAAAAGCTAATCAATCAGTATTTCCAACTCACAGATGGTGGTACTGGACATCGACTGGGATGGCTAGAAAGGAGCTTGCTGCATTATTAGGATTCCTGGTAATTATAGCCCCGCTCACATACTTCATTGTGAAGGAAGAACTAAGGCAATCAAATCGAGTGAGAAGGATGCATGCACAGGATCTTAAAATTCAAGATGCGATAGAAGGTATTTACAATCAATTTAGAATTGCCGATTCATTCGAAGAGCTCTGTAACACAGGTCATCTTGTTTTGATGACTACTGAGGCGAATTCGTATGTCGGCTTTGCTTTGCTTTGATGGAATTACAATGTATCCCGGCCTCGATATTTTTTTCCTGTTTACTATTCATTGCATGTAATAATTTTGTTGGCTGGATTCCTTGTTCTTAATCAAGCAATTTTAAGTCAAGATTCTGCATGATCCCCTCCTTTTAGTGATCTGAATTATAAATATATATTTTTTTCTTTTCAGGATTAGAGCAAAGGCCCAAACGAAATTTAARAACAGTTGAAAAAGATACATTAGTTCAGACAAAAAATAAAGAGCTTTTCAAGAGGCTAAGGCATTCCCGACACCAAGAAAAAACACTCCAAAACAAAATAATTGAACTGAATTCAAAATTAACAAACTGCAATCGCCCARTTCCAACCACCAAATCCAAATCCAGTATTGATCCTGATATTAATTTACCAACAATCTTTATCGTTACGCCAACTTACAGACGTTTCGTACAAAAATCTGARCTCACAAGATTAAAACAAGCATTTCRAGGTGTCCAAAACCTTCACTGGATTATCGTAGAAGACTCCCCACACAAAACCAAGCTGGTGAAAGTGTTCTTAGAAGAATCTGGTTTGGCATTTACTCATTTGAATATTAGGACTCCTAGTCTACTGCGCAAGCACAAAGGCGAGGCAAGGCGTTTTAAACCTCGAGGGGTGTTCCAAAGGAATCTTGGTATTGCATGGATTCGTAAAAACATTGATCCTAATAAAACACAGGGTGTTGTGTACTTTGCTGATGATGATAACACCTATGATAGCAGAATATTTGATGAGGTATGGTTATAAATTTAGTGTGGTTTAAACCGCTAGATTATTCAGACATTTGTCTGGTAATAATTAAAAGATTATCGAAGTTTATATTGAAGAATGGGTCGGGAGCTTAATTATCCCGTTATCTTCTTTCAGATGCGATGGATCAAGCGTGTTGGGGTGTGGCCAGTTGCTTTTACAGGGGCAGCACGATGGGCTGGTCCCATTTGCCATGGCGGAAAAGTCGTTAAATGGCACACAAAYTGGGGACACTTYCGACCATTCCCCATTGACATGGCAGGATTTGCTATCAATATAAAAGTGCTGATTGTAGATTTTCCCAAGGCGAAGTTCAAAGCAAAGAAAAAGCCTGGRATGCTAGAGTCCTCATTACTGAAACAGATAACTTCTAAAAATGAGCTTGAGCCAATTGCTGAAAGCTGTACTAAGGTAACCTTATTTGGAGAGAAGATGATAATCAATTTAGAGGTTGAATTGAAATTGACGGTTACCATTAATAAAATAACTTTGATCAGTAAACTCTGAGCCACATATGTAACTCTATCTGATGTCGATATGATGTCACATTMACCAAATTCTCTACCGCCACATTCACATTCCATTCACATATAACTCTACAGCCTCATTCCCATACAAAGAGCTCCACCGCCACAATCATATACTACACCTCTAAAGCCAAATTTRAATACACCTCTACAGCCGCATTTACATTAATTATCAACTGCCACATTTGACATGCACCTCTATCACACACACTTGTACGTATACCATTCTACGGGCAGTATATCGTGMGATCTATTGTTAGAGTGTATTACGAAACGCATTTTATAAGATTCAAAATATCGTTTCGTGAATAGGAGCCGTTCCTCTAACACTGGAATAAATGAACTGATATTTTTTGTGATAGGTATACGTATGGCACACGAGATCACAGCAACCACGTGATAGCATTCTCGGAGAGAAAGATCTTATAAGAGATGGAAGACCTTCTGATTTAAAGGTTGAAACCTAATTGAAATGTAAAAGTATTTTTTAATCCAAGACTTTAAACTTATAAATATACTGATTTGTTAATCATACATTATRCATGTAAATATTTATAAAGAGATTCAAAACAGAACAAACTCAATATCTATGTATTTCATAGATATACTTGCAATAAATATTGTATTCGATATTTTCAATAAAATTTAAACAAAATTATGCTGAAGTAGCAGATATTATAATATTAAGCTACGCTGAAACTTTCACTTCTCTCAGTAAAATTCTTCTGAGATGTTGAAAACAAGATTTATATAAACATTGCAGTTCTACGAATATCTTTTTCAAATTGCTGTGACATAGGTATCAATTTCCCATGCAACAACAACAGCAATTCTTGGAATGATCTCTTAAATATTTTCKAATAAAAGGTCYGTGGCCGAGATTATTAAATCTTGACGAGTTTTTGCGCTTATAAAGACTGTCCTTAAAGAATTGATTGAGACTTTTCGATAGTTTTTCAACTTCTTTGAATTTCAATATTCTATCTCTTTGTACACCTGATACGATCTTTTTAGCTGTACTTACTAACGCTTTTGCCATGGCTTTACCAAGAGTATTAGCTGYAATTTTTCCAACRCTGCTTTTCTGAATATCGTCAGAACTTATTGATGGTGGTGGTGCTGCAGGCTGAGCTACAGGAATACTGTAAGGGGCTTGAAACTTTYCCGTCAAAGGGGGAGCTTGACTTGCCACGTATTGCTGTGGAAGATTTACAACCTCTACTTTTAAAGGTGTTCCACTAGGAGAAGTTAAAGATGGATAAGATGCTCCTGTTACTGGTGTAGCTCCAGTTCCCGTTSCRAGTGTRGCTSCACCATTTCKTAACATACYAAGTGCAGTAGCGAGTGAATTAACTAGTTTTTGCTCCTGCGATGTGTCACTACTTTCGCCGACAGTTTTAGCTAGCGCTTGTGTTAGTGCAGTTGATAGCAACCGCTCGGGTTGATTTTGATTTTGAGTTTGGATGGCCAATTTTTGAAGAGCAGACGCAATWAGATCCGGTTGTGACAAWGCCAAAGAGGACTTAATTGATTCCGAAATTACAGATGARAGTTGTTGGACCATTTGAGGATTGTAGCTATTTGCTGGATATCCTTGAAAATTGCTGTTTACTCCAGGAAGTGGAAAGTTGCTATTGATCCCTGTGGTAACTCCAGGAATAATACCATTAATTCCAGGAAGTGTACTACCTATTCCAGGAAAATTGGTATTACTTCCTATAAGTGGAGACTGGGTGTTGATTCCTGGATAGTTAGCAGGTGGAAAGTTGCTATTGATCCCTGTGGTAACCCCAGGAATGATACCATTAATTCCAGGAAGTGTACTACCTATTCCAGGAAAATTGGTATTACTTCCTATAAGTGGAGACTGGGTGTTGATTCCTGGATAGTTAACAGGCATTCCAGAAYTTACCAAACTCTGTAAAGTTCCTTGTAAACCTGCATTTTGTAAACCCAAGAGTGGTTTGGTAAGTTGCGATGACGTCAATGTATTTGGATTTACTTGACCAATTGGATAGTTGTTAGGATTTACTTGAGCTTGCAATTGTTGAGTCGGTGGTGGAACTACAATCCTTTGAGTCGGAGGCAGCTGAAGAATGATTGGGYGACTCTGCTCTTTAACGGTATCGGTGCCTCCAAGATTCAAATTCAAATTTATCGTTGTGGTGTTTTGTTTTTCAGTTTGAGAACCAGATAATGGTGTCTGGTGCTTTACTGGGGCAGCTGTAGGCATAACGATGTTAATATTGATTGGTTTTTGAGTCGATGGTTTTAAGGTGGTGGCAACTGTCGTYGGAGGAATAGGTGRATGTGTGGGTTGTTCATACACAGTGGGTATTTCGGMAGTTACCATCTTTTTGACTTCCTTGTTTRTCTCTGGAAGCGAATTGTCAGGTGGCAGAACGATGTAGGGAACTGACTCAGTTTCTTTTTCAAACACTTTCAGAGTTCGTTTATGTCCCTGCTTTTCTGGCAAATATAGATCGCCTTGACCGTGTTCTGTAAATTTAAAGAGTATTGTATGTATAGTAAGCAGTTTTAGCTCAATACATTAGAACATCATCGAGATTACTGTCCGACCAAAAAAATCAATAAAGGCAATATAAAGAAAACTATAACAACTATGACAATAACAAGCAAACAAAATAAAACATTGTTGTTTCCTGGAAGTAGATATTCCATGAACTACATCCGGCCATAAGTTAGAATACTTAGTTATGACAGCAGTTTATTTAAGCTTCTCGAGGAACGCCCCTAAGGTTTCATTTTAAAAGAGTGTCTGAAGAGGTATRACGGACAATAGAGGGTGAATATGTATTCTTTGAGAGTTGAATTAAAAARG